TTTGAATAGATTATATCCGCTGGTCTTAGGTAACTATTGATTGGTCTCCAACCTTCCCTTTTGGAGAAATGTTATTGAGATAATGGTAAAGAATCAATTATGTAATACCATAGAAATCTGGACCTTCTCCCAGGCCGACCTATGGGATTAAGATGGAATTGATCAATAATGGTATGTGGAAAAGACCATGGAGATGAGGCAAAGAGATATTACTGAGGGAACAATCTGATAACAGCGTTGCCTGCTGTTCACAGTGGGCAGAGCAAGAGGCTCAGAATATACCATGTCAAAGGATGTGGTGGCTTAGTGGCTAAGACAATGAGCTTGTCTATCAGAAAGGTCAGTAGTTTGGAGGTTCGAATCCCTAGGGCCGCGTAACAGAGTGAACTCCCATTACTTGTCCCAGCTTCTGCCAACCTAGCAGTTCGAAAGCATGTAAAAATGCAAGTAGAAAAATAGGAACTACCTTTGGTGGGAAGCTAACAGCGTTCCGTGCACCTTCATCATTGAGTCATGTCAGCCACATGACCAAGGAGATGTCTTCAGACAGTGCTGGCTCTTCGGCTTTGAAATGGAGATGAGCACCGCCCCCTAGAGTCTAGCTCATATGTGCAAGGAGACATTTTATCTTTTATCTTTTTTAAATTGTAAAGGTGATAGTGGGAAAATGTATTTTCAGATCTGCAAGAATATATCAATATAGTTTTACCATGACATTTATCTGGTTGTGTTTCCTGTCTGGTCTACATTCTAAGGCTGATGTAGCTATTCTCTTGGCTGACCTATGTCAAGATCTGGATGTAGGTAGTCATTTCTTTTGGTCCTTTTGGACTGTAGCTTTCAGTATCTTTTATCATGGAATCACACTAAAATGGAACATTGTTTTGCAATGGTTCCATTCTTTCCTCAGTATGTGTTCAATCTATAGTAGTGAGGATGAGAAGTCAGCTCAGTAGCTCCTGCTTTACACGATGGGCAATCTTAATCCTCTCTCTGCTGCTTTTTGACAACTATATGAACCAGTGAAAGAGGTAATCTAATAATTTGGGGTATGATATTGCCAATACACTGGTGATATGCAGTTTTTATGAGGAATGTCAATCTTATCCCAGTGCTTGAAGGTTGTAAGGATTGAATGAAAACAACATTAAGCCAAAGCAATATGGGATAGCTGTTTGTTCATTGCAGTTGCCTATGAACACCATTGTTATCTCTGCATTTCCTGTGTATTTCATGATTTGGGTGTATTTCTGAAAGCTATTGGTAGAACAGTCTTTGTCAAAGCTTTGATAAAGTAATTGCAGCCTTATCTGCTTCTGGCAGTTTTGGCTAAAATAATACTATTGCAGTGTACCTAATATGGGATTGCCCACAGGTAGTCCTCAATTTATAACTTGTCAAAATTATGGTAGACTCTCTCCCAAAAGTAGGTACAACCCTGTTCCAAAGTTCCAATGGCCATCCTTCCTTGCTGTCATGTGACTGCATTTTGGGCACTTAACAACTGGCTCACATTTATTACTGTTTGCAATGAACCACAATCATGTCACTGCAATTTACAATATTTCTATTGAAAACTACTGTTTACTTCCAGGTTTTGGCAAAAACACACCATAGCAAACAATGGGTTAACCACAGATTCCCTTAACAACCGCCACAAAATAAAGTTTATAAAATTGGGTCAGTCACATGAATGACCCACTTTATGACCATCATGACTTACAACCAAGGCACTGCTTTTTAGTGGAAATTACTGATGCTTTAAATGAACCCCACAAAGGAGATCAGAACTCAGGTAAGATAAGCCACAACACATGTGAAACCCAACAGTGTTTGGATTCATATATTACATGTGAAGGTACAAACCATATTATGACTTAAGATTTTATGTGACCTTCCATAGAGTACGGAGATCTTTAAGACATCAAATCTCAAATTGTATTAATGCCCTGTAAATTCATTCGCTAATTGGAACCTGGCAGCAGGACATAGGTATACTTTTGTTAAGAGACAGCAAATTATCAGAAACTCCAAAGAAAACATAAATGTACATTATATTATCCATGACCAGATTTCTCCCGCCCCCCGCCCCAACTTTTTTTAACTTTAATTCTTAGTGAATTTATGAAGCAAAGAAAAGATGGCACTTTATCATAAAGTTAAAAGATAAAAATAAAATATCTGTCTTTGGAGGAAACTGAAAGCTGCAATGTGAGCTGAATAAATGAAATATATGAAAATGCTGAACTCACTAATAAAACAAAAGGCATTACTAATAAAGATGCTCAAAAATTAAAGCCAGCCTAATTTTAAACCGAAAAACATAATACCGTATTTTCACGACCAAAAGCCGCACCGGATTATAAGCCGCAGTATCAATTAATGTTAATTTTTCAAACTTTTTCCACATATAAAGCGCACCGGGTTATAAGCCGCACTGCCGGTTTTGGATCAAATTTTAGGATTTTCAGTGCGGCTTATAGTCGTGAAAATACGGTAGTTTCCAGAGAAATGTAAAATTACAGCAAAATATACCTCTAAAATTATACTATTCCAAAATGGAAGAAAGTTCATATTAAAGTGCCCAAAAACTTTAGAGAATGCATCTTTCAGAATACGGTAAAATAAAAATGAGTAGTAGTAATCCTTCTCATAGGACTGCAATTGGGGCCAGAATCTCAGTCACTTAGCAAATCAATAGATTTAAGTGAGATGTCAATGTGACTGCTTTGCTCAATGACCCTAATCGCAGCTTTCCCAATTGTAGTCATTAAATGACTAAGCAAGGGTGCCAGAAGACCTGGGAAGCCTGGTGCACCTACTCCTTTACATTTTTCTGCAGCTGCTGATAGATGCGCCCAACCTATGAAAGATATAGCTAGAAAGCTAGCGATTTCTAGCCTTTAGAAAGACTGCATTTGCTTGCTTTATAGTTACACCTTGCATAGGCTGGGCATACCTGTTAGCTATAAAAAAAGGTGAAAGGCAAGTGGACCTAGGTGTGGTGGGGCAAGAAAGAGTCTGATTTTGAATATTAAATTTATACTACCTATGTTTCCCTGAAAATAAGACATATCCCAAAAATAAGTTCTAGCTTGATTTTTACATGTGCGCCTAATATAAACCCTACCCCCAAAATAAGCCCCAGTTAAGACCCTTCCCACACCATCCAACTGTCTGTTTGTATGAGGTGGGGTTAGACGAATACGTAAAAACCAAGCTAGGAGGGGAATGGGGGTAGTGGAACTGCTCCAGTGTCCATACCCACTTACCTTAGGACCATGCAGCCAGACCTTCCATGCCCAGACACCTGCTGCCCAAATTCTTCTGCAGTTGCTTGCAGCCAAATGCCATGTGGCATATCACAGTGGTGCTGCTCCTTGCAGCAGGATGTCACATGGTGCAGAACACCGGTGCCATTGTTCGTGGCAGGAGCACATCATGCCAGTGCCACCACTTATGGCACATCACATCATTGCTGCTCGCTCATGGAAGGGCACAACACAGTATCCTCCTGCCACGAATGGTAGCCGCAATGCAATGTGCTACGTGGCTTCTGTCTGTGAGTGGATGCAGAAGTTGTTGAGCAGCAGTGCAAGAAGTGTGGGGGTGTGGGAAGCCAGGCTGATGTAGTCCTAAGGAAAGCAGGTAAGACATCCCCTGAAAATAAGACCTGGTGTTTATATGAGTATCAGTAGTGCTTTTCTGGAGAATTCCATGAATTTCAATCTAATGTATTCTTCAGCACTGATTCAATACTTTGACCACTCACCTGTGTTAAGAGGAAAAGGCAAAATAGAGCTGGAAGCCATCTTGAAGACATGACAACCCATATCCCTGAACGACCTGTCCCAGCAGTTTCATGTAGGTATTAAAAAGCATGGAAGATAAAATGGTGGCCTAAAGGACACTATAACCCAATCTGTCCCTAATTCTTTTTGCTAGTCAGTGAGATCAGATCAAGTGAGTGCACTTTGGTAGGCTATGTCATGAGTAGAACTTCAACTATATGCCTTGACTTTTACTGTGCTTGCCTCTGGATATTCCCCAACCCTAGGTGGGGGTGGGGGTAGTGGAGCTGCCCCACATGCCCGCACCCGCTAACCTTAGGACCACCTCAGCCAGGCCTCCCATGCCCAGAATTTTTCTCCAGCCACTTGCAGTCAGATGCCAAGTGGCAAATCGCAACGGTGCTGCCGCTTGCAGCAGGGTGCCATGTGGTACAGCATGCCAGGGCTACCATTCGTGGCAGGAGGCTACGTGCTCACTGTGCTTGTGCGCCGCTTGCGGCAGAAGGTCACATGGTGCATCACAACCAGTTGCGGCAATACATGTGGCGCATCACGTCACTGCCACTCGCTCATGCACAACACACAACATCCTTCTGCCACGAATGGCAACACCAGAGTAATGTGCCACCTGGCTTCTCTCTGTGAGCGGATGTAGAAGAAGTCGAGCAGCAGCGCAAGAAGTGTTGGGGTGTGGGGGGCCTGGCTGAGGTGGTCCTAAGGTAAGCGGGTAAGACATCCCCTGAAAATAAGACCTGGTGCTTATTTTTGGCCCAAAAGAAAATAAGAAAATATTTTTTGGGGAAACACAGTAATTATTAAAGACAGACATGAATAAGAAACAATTCTTGCATAACATTCTGAAGAGCACTACTATATCAACCATCTTTCATGATACATTTTCAATGTCAGAAAGTATAGCTAATCAAATTGCTTCACAAATTGAATGTCTTTTATTATTTGCTAAGTAAAACAAGAATAGAAACTTCTGTTACTTGAAATACAGACTGTGCTTGCATATGTTCTGCCCTATTAATTTTATTACTTATGCTTCTACATCAAAGTAATGACAATCAAGCAGAGATTTAGAAAATAAAATAAGTACTCCATTAGTAGGGGAGGGGCATCTACTTATAAGGCAGATTTATAAACAAATTTTAAATTTTTAAACTAAAAATAAATAAATGAAGGAATTACAAAAATATAACTTACCTACTACCATAAGTGTGAATTCAAATCCTCTCTTGACAGATTTTCTATAAACTTGATTGGGGAGATTTGCAAACCCCACATATCCTTCAAGATTCTTCTGTTGCTAGGATAAAAACAAATGGTTAGGTTATTTATGTTTTAGTATAACTGACTTCTTATTTACACTACTTTTAAGAACCATATTCTCTATCTAGGATAATGGCTATGTTCTTTGTACCTCATATTCTAACTACAATACCTAAACACACTTTCAGTCTCTCTTATTTTAAAATATTTTGATATTCAGTATTATAGTGTATTCTGTTCTTGATAAGTGAATACCATCTGATCTTAAATGCAATAAAGCATTAGCTTGGAATATTGTTTCTAATAAAAACCCTAAGTTCAGATAGCACACAAGCTATCATCTGGAACTGGAACAGGCTGTAACATCTTCCTGAAGAGTTCTATGATAGATAAGTACTATCATTTTTCACTGGTAAAATTATAAACCAATACGTTGTTTCAATAATCTGCTATCTTCTACATATTTATTAATTTTACTGAAGATATATACATTTCCCCTTCCATTTTCTTAAAGATATGCTATTTAAACACAAGAAAAAATACAATATTATTTTTAAAGAAAATCTACCTTTAGAAAAGACAATAATACTTACAGCTACTTTGTAAACAACATATTTTCATCATTTTACATGTCCATAAGTAACCAAAATACAGCCAGAAGTCACAGGAAGCAAGGAATTCCAGTAATTTGGTAACACAAGCCAGATTCAGTTTTTATCAAAAAGAGAAAGGGGAAAAAAATAGAGTTACTTACATTTGTACAATGAAGATTTTTGTGTGTTTGTGTGTTTAGTTTTATTGCTCAAAGGAATAAAGTATTTAGAATCATACAATAAATAAGCAGTTAAAAACAGAACTTTTAAAACAAATCCCAAAATTAAAATCTTCGTGATATGGATATCACGAAACAGTACTGCCTGCCTCAAGCAAGCCAGGAAGAAATGTGTCATGATTTCACTTTTATACTTTGAATGTCTATCTTTCACTATTATTCTATGGGAGAAGGAAAGGTACATATGGTAAGAACTTTAAAGAAAATAAATTTAAAACTTTACAAGTGATTACTCATTTTAACAAATATTAAAGTATCAAGTAAAAAAACAAGTCAGTATATCATTATTATTGCAGAACACAGAGTAAAATTATATATTACATTATTAATTTAATTATATATTAGAACTTAGCAAATAGCTGCATTTCTCATTTTTTTTGTTAGGATAGTGTAATCATCAGGGCTCATATGGAAGAACAGCCTTAATTTTTCTTCTCACAGGCACTTCACAAATCACAATCTCTTTATGAGAGCTTTAAAAGGGAAACCATGAAACTAAGGATAAGTTTTAAACTTTTATGTATATACTCTCAGTCAAGCCCTCTGTTTATATTAATGTAAACAAAATTTGAATTTAAAAAATGGCAGTTGGAGCACTGCATGAAGTTGTGTGAAAACTCTCCTAACCACAACTGTCGTCTGTTCTTTGAACAGGAATCACAAGTCTAAAAGAACCCCCAAATTGTGCGCCATGTTTATCTGGGATATTGCCAGCCCATCCAGAACTAAAAATAATAAAGCTCCAAATCACAAGGCTCCACATACCCACAGCAATTCCATCTAGGGTTTAGTTGAAGCCTGTTTTACCCATCCAGGCCCCTTTAGCCTCCAAATACTGTGAAAGAGCAGCCATAGCGTCACTTGGATCACCAATAGTGGAGATGTAAAGCTGAGTATCAGCAGCAAATTAGTATCTCACACCAAAATTCACAAGCAGTTTAATGTAGATTAGAGATATTTAAATCCAGCCCATGGGGCCAGCCTGGAAAAATCAAAGGACCGGCCTATAGTGCTTCTGCCGGCCAAAACAGGCCAGGTGACGCCCCCACGTGGTCTGTTTTTGGCCTCCTATAGAACCTTGGGAAGCCTCTGCATATTTGGCCGGCAGAGGGCTGCTGGAGACTGGGGAGGCTGAAAATGGGCTGAACAGGGGCCTTGGGAGACCTCCGTGAAGCCTGTTTTTGGCTGGCAGAGTGCTGTAAGAGGCTGGGGAGGCCAAATGAGGCATAGTGGGCTGCATGCAGCACCCCCGTGCCCCATTTTGCCCGATAAAGTGCTGCAGGAGGCCATTCAGGCTGAAAATGGGGCAGTCTGCATCTCGTTTTGGCCAGCAGGTTGCTGCAAGAAGTGTCAATCCTGTCTTGCCCCTGCTCCCCCACACACACCCTTCTGGCTGCAGAGAACTACAATGTTGATCTGGCCCTCGAAGAAATCCAGTTTGACACCCCTGATGTAGATATTAAAAAGCAGAGAATACAGAATCTACCTGAGGAGTGGCTTTGAGCTGGACTTCTTGCCCCTTATCAACATGATTGGAACTGGCCAGAGAAAGGAACTGAACCAGTGCAACACTGCAACACTCAGCCCTAAATCCACAATCTTTCCAAAAGTGTACCATGGCTGATAGTACTGAAAGCTGCCAAGAGGCCAAGGAAAGCAAGGATGGATAGATTCATTCTGCTCTCCCCAGAGATCATTGATAAGTGCAACCAATGCTATTTCTATCCCTTGACCAGGCCTGAAACCTCACCAAAAAGGGTCTCGATAATCTGTTTCAACCAGGACCCTCTAGAGTTGCAAAGCCATTACCTTTCCTAGAAAGGTCATGAGGTTATGTTGCTATTGCTCTGACAAGATGATCTTATTTGTAGAATGACCACAGTCTTGGATGATCTAGATAAGCCCATAATTGTCATGGTTGTCCTGAACTCCTGGTCCGCTTGAGGACAAACCCAGGAGATTGAAGTCCCACAGTGAAACTCCATTGCCAACCCATCTCCATTGAAATGGTCTCCAGCAGCTCAACTGGGGAAGTTGCTACACCGCAGAGAGCCTGGTAAAGCAGAATTCTTCTTCTACTTCATTAGTTTTCTCCGGATGTCCTCAATCCATTTGTCTGATGATTGCATGTTTTTCTTTTTAATAGATTGGTTGGTCATGAAGAATTGTCCTGACAAGATGTCTACAAAACATTTTGAGAAAAGGGGAAGGTACTGGTAGGCAACAAGACCCTGATGTTTACTGAAGAGCCAATTTAGTGTGGTGGTTAAAATGTTACTAGAAACCAAGTACTGGAACTGCCATAGGCATGAAAACTGGCTGGGTGACTTTATGCCAGTCACTTTTTCTCAGCCCAAGCGATTGTTGATGCAGGGAAAACAGGAAGCAGCAGCTGAGTTAATATGACAAAAGTGGGATAAAATCTAATAATATTATTGAATTACTTTGGGTGGTGCTGAAAAATTGCTCTGCACTGCACCACTCAAAATAATTTATATATGTCTGTACTTCAGGCACTTGGCAGCCTGTTCGCCTCTGGGTCATTCCATGTCAAGTGGTCTGGGGGTCCCCGCTCAACTATCATGGATTTCGATGAAATTTTGTGTGAACATGCACACATGTCCCCAATGAACATTGGTAAAGTATTACATGTGCCTATGCAATACATGTGGAGATATAGTCACTTGTTTGACCCCAATACTGCAGCCTTCTACAGTATGACTCTGAGGTTCCAGCAACTTTGAGACATATCATCTCCGGCAATATTTTGTTGAGAGAAACAAAACCTGACCATCTTGTACAACTTTTTGTGCTCTACTAAACAAAATAAGAACATTTTCACGAGCGATATCCATCTAGATCATTTGGATATCTTGGGTATCTTATATGGTTCACAAGCCGAAGTCCATACTGTTTGTATGAACTGCCAGATTCCAATGATTGCTTATTATTGAATTTATGTGCCATGTTCTTTAGCGTAGCTTCTCGGAATTGATACTATTGTCCTGATGATGTAACTGAAGGCGCTGGAAGCACCCAAAAAAGATGTGGTTCTGGAACTCAGCAAACATCTTGTCTTTCAAGCTAATAAAATGAAAGATCAAGGCCAACAGTGTGGACTTCGACTTGGGAACCATATTAGATACCCACTTTAGGTTTGGGAACCTAGGATAAGTTGCCCAATTGTTGGCTTGGGAACCAGACAGATACTCAACACAAGGCTTTGGAACCTTGAGGAAGAAACCAAACTACAGGCTTGGGATCCTGAACCAAGAAACCCCCCATGGCTAGTATAGCACAGCTATCGGGGATGCCCCCTAAGGTGATGGGGTTGCTGGGTCAAGTGGCTGCACTGAACTGATAGTGTCACCATTGACCAATGCAATATAATAATAATAATGTCTATATAAAACAAACAGAACAAAAAATAATAGATTGCATGTGACATGGCCACAGCAACGTCCTGAACTGTTCTTATTTTTAGGGCTTTATACGTCAGTGATGAAAAACCAACCCTACTTTTTTAGGGGTGTTGAAACATGCACTTTCTAATGAAATGATTTAACAGACTTTCCAGAAGATCCTTCTTTTGTAAAAAAAAAAAGGGGGGGGCATGAAAATATCCTATTTTTGGCGTTTTTACAAAGAAGACGGTTGGTCTTTCTCTCTGTGCACTGCGGGAGACTCCATGCATGGATTATAACATCTGCCTATTAGCCCAGAGACTAGTTTGAATTGTTTGGACACTCCTCCTTGGCTTGACTGAATCCAGTTCTTAACAAAGGTGTAGGTCGGAGAAAGTGGTTGTGAACCCCTCAGAATCCGATGTGGATCCTGGACTGGATCCCTAGGGAGAGAATGGAGTCTCCCACAGAACACAGAGAATTACCGTTCAGGTTAAGAGCAACCATCTTTCTCCCATGTGCTGCTTGGAGATTCCATGCATGGGGTATACCCAAGCATAGATGATCAAGGGCGGGCAACAGGCTAGTCCAGGGTCCCTTCCGCAGAGAGAACCCTCTGAAGTATACATCGTCCAAACGCCGTCTCAGCCGAGGCAAACGAATCCAACCTATAATGTTTGATAAATGGCAATGGTGAGGCCCAGGTTGTGCCCTGAAAACTTCTTCTACTGCTGCCCGAGTTGTCCAGGCAGCAGTGGTGGCCAGTGGCTACGAAGAGCATCCATGCCCTCTTCTGGGGTCTGGAACTGCGAAGAAAACCTCAGCAGGAGAGTGTTTTGTGGGGTGGCAAATAGGTCCACAGTTGGTTGACCAAATCTCTGGGAGATATTGTGGAAGAGTTCCAGATGCAGGCACCACTCCGCGTGGTCAATTGTGGCCCTGCTCAGCCAGTCTGCTTCAATGTTGGCTGTGCCTGATATATGCTCCGCCCGCAGTTAGAGGATGTGGGTCTCCACCCAGAGGCCTAGACATTGGGCCTCATGCATCAGCGCCCTGGAATGAGTCCCACTCTCATGGTTCACATCTACTTTGGTGGCAACGTTGCCCGTCAGCAATAGGACGTGACAACTGAATATGTGCCTCTGGAACTGATGGAGGGCCAGATGGGCAGCCCTGAGTTCCAACCAATTGATGCTGTTCCCCAGCTCGTCCCTCGACCAACAACCCTGGGCCAACTGAACTTGGAGATGGGCACCCTAGCCAAACAGGCTGGTGTCCGAGGTGACAGTCACCCGAATGGGCTCCCTCAACAAGGTCCCCTTCTGTATTGCATGGGAGGTCCACCATTGCAGGTATTGGACT